ATCCAGTGTATTTTCAAATATAGAATCATGCCACACAATTCGGTAATAAATTTATGATTGAAATTTGTTGTAGTAGTTGTTTAAAAATATAATAATACTTCATGTAAAATTTTAGTTTTTTTGGATGGTCCAATTGTGAGATATGAGTTGTTGAAGTTCAAGAAAATTTCTCCTTAAGGATATATAAGGTTTTAGAATATTTTTATCATATTTTGGATGATCTTTGGTACTTAGGACTTATGTATTGATTTAATTACCTCTATAAAAAAAAATTATATATAAAATTGGTGTTTTTTTATCTTAAGACTTAGTTGAGCAGTTAGTAACAACCAAAAGCTTAATACTTTCTTAAGGCAAATTCTCTCTATTATGACAACAATAAGCAAACGACTCAAAAATTCTACACCGATATGTCAAGACTTGGATCATTAGCTTAAAGATGAAAATAAAAAAAAGATTTTGGTATTTTCAAGCTTTCATTAATAAAAGAATCATAAGATTTTATCTCCAATTTAATGAATCCTACATTGGCATGAATAAAGCTATATAAGAAATATATCAAACACATACTTTGGCCAACCTTATAATTTTTCAAAAAAAATGGTCCACAACTTGCATGACAAATAATATGGATGTATCAACATTCATGCAACTGATCTACAAATTACTAAAAGAAGTACGAACTACAAGCCAATAGATTGACAATACTACAATAGTTTACAAAAATTTCATTTACTTACTATCTTGTTTTGATCAATTTATATATATTGTTTAAAATGAAAGAATAATTTTGTCTATCTTTAAAATATTAATTAGATTATATTTAGAAGAAACTAACTTAAGACTTTTACAAGAATTATTGTAAGAAAAAGCTATAATCATAAGAATTTGAAATATCATTCACAATGACCAACTTTTATACTCTAGATGAAGAACAGATAGAAACTTCTATAAGCAAGATAATTTTGTATTGTACCTTAATCATGCACAACCAAATCAACTTACTTCAATAATCATATTAATGATGTAAATTAGGTCACTTTGCTAAGATATGCAATGCTTTGATATTACTTCTACTAAATTTTTAAAAACCATTTACATATCATATAAGAAGACCTATAGAAGCTCAAGTAGTTGATAAAGTTTTGATAGATGATTCTCTCCCTCTTACTAATAAAAGCATTAAAGCAATTCTTCTTGCTCTCTCAATAAATACTACCTTTGATCATGATTAGATGCTTCACTCAAGGACATTTTGCCACTTTGATAATAATCTTATTTTTTAATTTTTTTGTAGAATAAAATAATTTATAAGATTCGGTGACATTAATTTTGAACTAAGTCCATGAGATCAAATTCAAAGAGAGACTTGAGCTTCCAAAGCCAAATGATGAAATAAAAACAATTAAAGATATTTGTTATGTCCCAAAGTTTAGTGGAAATCTGCTCTTTATAGGTCAAGTAATTGACTTAAGAAATCTTATCTTGTTTATCAATGTATAGTCTTAACATTGCATAAACTATAGAAAACTTATTGCAATAGGCAAAAGAAACCTAAAGTTTGGTCTTTTCAAACTATCATTCTTACTTAGAAGCCTTGAAGCACACAATATAGAAGTCTTAATTTTTCCTCAAGAAAGAATTCTATTGAAATCCTTGAAGCATCTCAAAGTCAATGCTACTATCTTTAGTCTTCCAATAGATGCAATGACTAAATTAGACTAGAATCAAAATTAAAAGAGTAAAATCTAGCAAGACTTTGGTAAGCATAATTAAGACATCTAAACTATAGCAGCCTATCACAAGTGAGTAAACATACCATCAATATTCTACTTCAAAAACATTCTTATCTTAATCTTTGGAATTCTTGATTAATCTAAATTCTTACCTTAATCTTTATTATCTTTGATTAACATAAGAATTTGAATAGATTAAATATTGACTAGATTTTAATCTAAATTCTTATCTTAATTAAGTTATTGAATTAAAATCAATGATTGAATAGACTTAAATTCAATGATTAGACTATAAAGACTAGAATTAAAGCTAATCATTGGATTAAATCAAGGATGCTATTGGATTAAATCCATTGACTAGACTATAATGGCTAGACTTAAGTCTAGTCATTGGATTAAAGTCTAGTCATTTAAAATTTGACTAAATTAGACAATGATTAGATTAAACAAAAATTCTTATCTTAATCTTGGACACCTTTGATTAATCTAAAACAAATGTAAGCTTTTAGAAAAATTTATGTGGACCATAAATCATTTTATTTGAAAGTAAACCATTAATTAGGATTTTTTTATTTTAAAAATCAAAAAATATCAAAGTACACAATACAACATTATAAAAAGACATTCTTATTATAACTGAATAACTATGCCTTATCATAAATATAAGTACCAAACTTCTTACTTGAAAGTAAACTAAAATGTTATCTCAACTCTCAATTCACAAAGCAATACACTAAAGCAAACAGGTATTAAAGTTGCAACAAGCTAAATGACTATTTCAGTAGACAAGCATTGATTATAGTTTCAATACATGATATAGAAACAATGGCAAGTGTCTTTTAAATCATCCCACAAGGCAATCACTTTAAAATTATTCTATGCACTATCTATCTCATTAATCACAAAAACAATCCAATTCTATCTAGTGCTTTACAGTATAGCTTGATTTGTAACATTTATAGAAAATTAAGATAATTATTGAGATATTAATGCTTCTAAAAAAAATAAGTGTGAATAATTGTGAATTGAAAGAATTCATATATTATATGCATAAATATTTTTGAGGCACTATAATAGCATCATACAAATTAAATATGATGCACAGGTTTCTTATTTAGCTAATTGTTTTATATTACATGATTAATAAATAAAACATTATTTTATAATAAATTTTTCTATCATTTAATAAACTTCTATAGTTTTATATTCTATTCTTTAAAAATTAGATATCCAATTCAAATTTAAAGCATATTCTATTGCAACAATCAATTGTGTACAATGCTAACGAAGAATCTTTGGTTTTATAATTGCTCCAATATTAAGAAAAATAAATATTACTTTCTTTAAGAGAAAGATTATTATCAACTATTATGACTTGATTTTATTCCCACTACCACAATAATGTAGTCATTCTTACTATGAATCTCACAAAACCTAAACACAATCTATGTGCTCATGTTCATGGCTTTATTGGATATAATACTTCACAAATTTGATGAAAGGAGGAGCTATCTAAGGTCATGAACTTGTTCATTAACTTGTCCATATAGGCCTACTACAAACTTCATGACTTTGTTCATATGATGCAACTGAAAGGGAGTATTATGATAAATCAATTAACTTATAATTAATATAGTCAGCATAGCATTAAATTATTTAGATCATAGATTTTAGGGTTCACTTTGAGAGTGCACAAGACCTCTTCAAAAGAAGTACTTAAAAACCTTCAGTTGTGATTGTTATCATTATTTTTATTAATATAACCTCTTTCATATTCTAGTACTCACAATATGTTGTAAGCTAAGTTATTCAACAAAGTAGACTTATTGCTTAATGTGAGTTTGGTTTAGAAGTCGAATACAATCTGTGTTGACTTAGGAAGTGTTGTAATTTGCAAAAGTTCGACATGACTCCAGCTTTCATTTTCTTTAAGTTGCACCTCTCGAGTTGTAAGCTGCATATGTAAAGGAAGAGACACAGAGATCCAAATTTGTATTCTATTTACACATAACTAGTGAATTCTTTTCTATGCTGTTTGTACTCGCTTCGGAAAAGTGCAAGGTCAGTAATCAGAAAAGGTGTATGCACCTTTATAACAAGCAGTTTAGATTACCATGGAATGGTGCAGCATTGTATCAGCGGGTCCCAAGGTTGCGGTAATCACACCCTCCGTTACTGCTTCTGCAGCCCCGGTAGTATTGTAGTCTTTCTTCTGCTTCTCTACAGAACAATCCGTGCCTTGGTCTCTTGGTTTTTTGCAGTATAAGTTGATCAGGAGATGCACATCTTTAGATGAAGGCGAACATTCGAAGGCCCAAGGACTTTACCGGAAATTAATGAAGAGATTGTCGTCTAACCAAAAAATTCTGAATGCTGAGAATAATACCCTAGATGCTTGATTTCAGTGTCCAACAACAGTGGTGCTATGTTTTTGGTGACCAACCTTTTGGGGGAACCCGGATTCACGATATTCAGCTCCTGTCTTCCCATTGCGTAGTACTGTAGTCCTATAGTTGCTGTCTCTACACAAAAGTGGCTTTACTGTATTGTCAACTTCTAATTTTTAGTCTGTTCTTGCTAGCTAGTCCTTTCAACGCTGTTTACTCTGTGTTTGAAAACGTGCGCGCTGGTGTACTTGTTAATCTGGTGATCAGGTGAAAGAGAAAGCCATGGAACCCACAAAACCAGTGCAGGGTGAAGACGGTGTGCAAGGTGTTAGTGATGCATTTCATAAACATCTCAGGAAACGGATATCAAAGATGATGCATAAGACACCATCATTCCCACCTCCGCGAACGAAACAGAAAAAAATGTTGCGACTTCTCCACGTCTTGTTGGACGTGTCCAAATAAGCGCAGTCCAAGCAGTTATTCCAAATGCACGATGTTGGTCCGTTTTTGGACATGCAGATTGCTTGCATGACCCATCTTTCATCCTCTTGGAAGGTCAGGTTTACCCATCATGAAGAAGTGGAGAGTTACAGCTGACATTGGTAGTCGAAACACTGGGTTTAGAATGTATCTGCAACTTCTTCAGTGATGTTACGAACTTGCCATGAATCAAAGCAAATGGGGTTTTAAAACTTTTCTTCAATCTTATTCAGGGAAGGGTCTTGGATGGAGTTGTGGGGCATGGAAATTCACAAGTATAAACCTTGACTACATTGGTTGAGGACATATAGATTCTTCTAGGATTCCTCGATCTAGCTCACGCTTGAAACTGAAGCTATGTAAAGGGCAAGGTAAAGATAACGTGGGAGACAAGTCCCAAGATCCCTTTTTTGGTCTTAATATTCTCGTCCCGTTTCCTGGGAACCTGTAGCGGAGCAGCATTTCAAAGGAGGCGGAGCTCCTATTCCTCTCGGACCTTTCCTCCCTGCCTGCTACAATATCGCATTCTCTAACGATGATTCGAAGTCACTCTTCCACATGCTGATCGAGGTAACCCTCCGTGTTTTTAATGCAGTGTCAGCTTTGATCGCCAGCGTTTTCACCTCGCTTTGGTGTAGTTTGTCACCTTCGGTTGCGTTTTTTTGGAATTTTGGGAGAGGAGCTTCGATCCCTTTGTAATTTCTTGGGCTTGTTCGTTTTTGTTCCGAGGATAGATCGATCTCGTGGAGTCTTGGTTCTGTGCGTAGGAATGAGGATAGATTGTCGTTTCTTTCATCTGCTCGTTGTTTTGATAACTATTTGTGAGTTACGCGGTTTGGGGAAGGCTCTAGAATGTTTCGTTACTTCACTGAGTTCGTTAGAGATCAGTTCGAGGTCTCTGAGACTCGTGAGATGCTTTTGTTTCTGTTTTTATTTTATTGTTTTTCATGGGAATGGTGTATTCTGAGCATCAATGGACTTTCGGTTGGTATTCGGATCTTAGGGATCAGTTGATAGCTCTCTTTCGCTCTATATATTGCCGTCTCAATCCAATGCAAGCATACAACTGGAAGCGCGGCGCTTCTTATGTATTTATTACCTGTTTGTTAGCTTTTTTGTGCGCAGCTTCTGTCAATGGTGTCGTTCGTGTGTACAGATATGAGGATGTTTTTTTTGTCCTATGGAAGTATCAAGTTTCCTAGTCGCTTAGGAATGTTCTGATGTGGTGGTGTAGTGAGTAGGGGTTTGTGAGGCTGCCGTGTTCACCGATTAAGTTGGCACGTGTTTTTTGTTTTTCCATGTGAAGAATTTCTGCATCACAAGGTGCTGATCAGGTATTCAGAAGCACCCATCTCATAATAGGCCAGTAAGCAATGGCCACCAAGACTAGCATCGAGCACATCCTAGGAAAGACAGCTGATGATGGCCGCCTTAAAATCGCAAAGACCAAGATTATTTGCACCTTGGGACCCAAATCCCGGGAGGTGCCCGTTCTGGAGAAGTTGCTCAAAGCCGGCATGAACGTGGCCCGGTTCAACTTCTCCCATGGAACACACGAGTACCAACAGTACACTCTGGACAACCTGCGACAGGCCTGCCTAAACACTCAAACGATGTGTGCAGTTCTTCTGGATACCAAGGTTCAAACATCTTTCTTACTCGTCTGGATGAATCCGATGTGCCCGTGAAATACAATTGAAATGGTTCAGTTATTTGGTATATGTGACCTGGTAAGTTTAGGTCACTACTGACACCCAGCACATCAGTCTGACCAATCAGTAGGGTTTTCATTTTAGTGAAACACGTTTAGTTGGGTAATGGAAACCATTGTCGGCACTCCACATAATTTCAATCTCTTTTCAGGAGCTTTAACCCACTTTTCATTCTCAATCATGATAGGGACCGGAAATTAGAACAGGCCAGTTGGCCTCTGGAAAACCTATCCAACTGGTGCGTGACAAGGAAATCTGGATCACCACGGACTACACTCACTTGGGAGACGAGAATATGATTGCCATGAGCTACAAAAAGCTTGCAACAGATTTGCAGCCGGGAAACATCATATTGTGTTCGGATGGATCCATCACGATGACGGTTCTAGAGTGCGATGTGGAGAAGGGGATGGTGAAGTGTCGATGCGAGAACACAGCCATGCTCGGGGAGAAGAAAAACGTTAACCTGCCGGGGGTCGTTGTGGACTTGCCGACCATCACAGAGAAGGATATCGATGACATCATGACCTGGGGTGTTCCGAATAAGATTGATTTCATCGCAGCGTCATTTGTTCGCAAAGGGTCAGATGTCCTAGCGATAAAGAAGCTATTGGGAGAAGCGTCGAAGTCAATTCATATCATATCCAAGGTAAATTTTAATATTGTACTGAAGTTCGAGATTCTTGCCCTTGGTATCATTTATTTCTGAGTTGTGGGGGAAGTTTTCTTTCAAACAATTGAGTTTGAAACAACTGTCAACATTGAAGCTTAGCTGAGGCATAAAACTTTCGCACACTTCTGTAAACCATATCTGATTCCATGTGCAAAGTTAGTTATCTGATTTACATTTTCATGGTTTTACTCAGTATGAGACAGGTTTAAAATTATGTGATTCTGCCTCTATTCAAAGAATCACAAAATTGTGTCTTGATCCTGCTTTGATTTCTACCATAGGTTGAGAATCAGGAAGGTCTGGTGAACTTCGATGACATATTGAAAGAGACAGACGGAGTCATGGTGGCAAGAGGGGACCTGGGAATGGAGATTCCTACGGAGAAGATCTTTCTGGCCCAGAAGATGATGATCTACAAGTGCAATTCTGCAGGGAAGCCGGTGGTGACCGCAACACAGATGCTAGAGTCGATGATCAAGTCTCCTCGGCCGACGCGTGCTGAAGCAACGGATGTCGCAAATGCAGTGCTTGATGGGACGGATTGTGTAATGCTGAGTGGAGAAACAGCAAATGGATCATACCCTGAACTAGCAGTAAGTTTCTTTGCTGTTTAGCCTGCACTTCACTCAAGGCTTTCTCAACCTGCAAGTAAAGTATGTCTGATGGACCATGAAAAGGATCATTGCCAAGAATCGCTCCGTAGTGAATTTTACCAGTTAGTATTAATTAACTTGCGCCTTGTTCATCACCACATTCGCAGCACCTTCTACTTTACAGACGTGTTTAGTGGAGTAAGAATTATAGCTCATAAATTGCTGATGAGTATGGTTGCTGTTGGTCGTAGGTGGCAGTGATGTCCCATATTTGCCAGGAAGCGGAGGCCGCATTGGACCATGAATCCATATTCAAAGAGATCATGAAGTCCGTTCCTTTGCCCATGAGCCCCTTGGAGAGTCTGGCTTCCTCTGCTGTGCGAACGTGTGCGAAAGTGTGCGCCTCTCTCATCATTGTATTGACTCGCGGAGGTAGCACTGCCCGACTTGTGGCAAAATACCGGCCGTTTGTGCCAATTCTGTCAGTTGCCGTTCCCGTAATGACCACAGATCATTTGACCTGGACTTGCAGCGAGGAATCTCCTGCTCATCACAGCTTGGTCGTCAGGTATTTTATGTGTGCGAACCCTATTTCCATGATATTTTTAAATGGCAATGTTATTCTGCCTGTGCATGGATATGGACCGATGGGTTGTGTTTGTAGTGATACATTGTTAACGTTGCCCTTTGTTTTCGAGGTACGTTTCTCAGCCGACGAGCTCTCGTTTGCAGGGGTCTGATACCTCTCTTGGCCGAAGGCTCAGCAAAGGCTACTGATTCGGAATCAACAGATGATATTTTGAATGATGCAATTGGATACGCACTGAAACGTAAGCTATGTTTAGTTGGTGACTCTATTGTGGCCCTCCATCGCATTGGTGTAGCATCCGTGATCAAGATCATGGAGGTCAAGGAACCAACACATTCTTTCCCGATGGTATAGAAAGTTCAAACATGGCATTTATTCACAATTCTTTAGCTCATTCTTCACTTTAAATAGGTACTAATTTGCGATTTTGCAGCTACTAGAAGAAAGGTTAACTATCATGATGAAGCATGGAAGCTGATAAATGACCTTTCTTAGCTATTTCACTTGTCATTCTGACAATATAGCAATTCACCCTTGCTTTTTTTCATAAACTTCCTTCTTAGTAACGCAATAACCTCGATTCGTCTTCCTAGTTTTCATCGACAGCGCTACCCACTAATAAACAATCGACGTTACTGATGAAATCACGCAATATTCAAGTAGGATTAGTCACAGTACCAATTGTGCTGTGTATTGCTTGAAAAATTGGGTGTTCGTCAGAAGGAGTCTGTCTCGAGGTTCAAGCTGCTAGTAAAGGTCGCTTAGAACATTACAGCAATGTCGATGTATGTCGGATTTTGTGGCGGTTTTAATCTACACAATTTGGGGTAGATAATGCCAACAAGTACAATAGTTTTTTAGTGCATGGTTTGGTCAAACTTTGCAACCACAATAGGTATAGATATATAGTGCATCTAATTGAAAAATAGAAATTAAAAAGTATCTCATAACAATTGGTTTGATTAAACTTGCAAGGACAAATCAATCAATTTTATAAAAGGTTGTCAATTACAAAACATTAGAAATAATTGTCACAGATCATAAAGATTAAGTTAAGTTGAATTGAAAATTGAACAATATTGGTAGGATCCAACATGGAAGGCTATGCATGAAAGATATGTCAACCATGATTTAGCAGATGTGTTGTCAGATTAAGTTAGTAGATTGAAAGAATTGCAAAATATCCACTAATTTCAAATTTTACAAGATATGATATAATGTAGTACCAAATACACAATAAAAAATATGTCATGAATGCAATAGCATAAATGAGAGCAATATTAGATACAAACAACAATACATATAACTATCTTATAGAATCATAAAGAACACAATGCATTAAAAGAATAATTTAATTAATTGGCATCTAATTTCTCTAATTAGATAATAAATCTAAAATTAATAATAAGATAATTAAGATTAAGATATAATAGAATATCCTATAAGAACCACAAGAATTACTAAGTAATATAGAAGAATATAAGAAAAATAGTTATTCAATAATATTGAATACTTTAAAAACTTAGATACAATCAATAACACATGAACAACATTATGTGATACAAAGATAAAGAAATTTTAATAATAAATCTTATTTTAATAGATAAAAAGACCAAAATCACTACACTTAAGATGTTTTTTTACCTATGAATATAATTGAAACTAATTAATAACCTTAATTATAATATTTATAATAAAATTAGTAAAATATCAAAAAATAATTATTTAATACTTTTGATACTACAAAGAATAGATGTAACAGGACATGGATAGGATATTTGTATTATTTTGCACATAGACATATGTAGTTGGAGTTATTTTTGAGAGGTTTTGAGATTTGAGGTTAGAATGGTAGTTTATATGGGATCCACCATAGAACCTTCTAAAAAGTCTTAGGGCGGATATCATGATACGGCCCACCATTAAAAATATTCTAGAAAGTTTTAGAGATAGTTGAATAAAGTATAAATAGAATTAGTGGAGGCCATTTGGCCATTCAGTCAAGTATGGCTTTAGACTCTTTCTCTCAATAAAGTTTTGTTCTTTTTTCTTCTTTTCTTCTATTTGATTTTATTTGGTTCTATTTTCTTTTACTTAGATTTCTTTTTCATGTTCCATTACATTTAGTTACTTTCAATTTTGTTTTGGTATGATTGGTCTTACATTGTGTCAAGGACAAGAACTCGATGAAAAAACAATTCAGACAAGTGAGCCTTCACTCAAAGAGAGGTAACAAAATATTTATAAACAAGTATATATATTGAAAGAGAAACTGGAATGGCTATTGTCAAAAGACAAGAAAACTAGAGATCCTTGAAACTAGACTAGAAGCAAAAAAAGAGTTGACAAGAGTGAAGAAGCCTTTACTCTTGTCTCTATATATACTATCTAACAAGGCAAGTTTTTCTACGTGTAGGCCACATAGTTAGCTTGATCTTCAAGCTAACAACATGTGTGGCACATGGCCAACTTGTTGACCACGTTTCTTATCTACAAAGTCAATTAAAGACACCTATGAAGTCAAAGCAGCATCTAGAAAAATTCTAAGAAGCTTCCATATTAAATACTATAGAATTAAGTTACTTTTACCTATTTTTACTTACTTCTACCTATTTTTATATGTAATTATTAACTTACATGATTATGGTCGTGACATTACTCCCCCTTCTAGAGACGAGTTCCACGAGGAGCGATCATCATATATTGAGAAAATCTATGATGCGACGAATTGTATTCGCCACATACTCTGATCTTTGTTCTCTTCGAAGATGATTGATAGGACCTCTCAACCATCGGTAGTGTCCCATACCAGGGCAGAAAGACCACCCCAGTTATTTGATCATTGTTGAGGCCTTCGTAACTTCCTTCGAATAGAATATTTGGAACACCATCAGGAGTTGTTCCTACCTCTAGCAAAATCACCAAACATCGGGAGTCCCTTCCCAAATTGTGATACCAAACGCATTGTATCTCGCCATCTATTCGAGGAAGAACATGTCGTTCTTGAAGATCTTCATCTCGATTACGTCATCTTGAAGGTTGTGACAATCGTAATGTCTCGTTTGGCAAGTCAACAAATGAAGGCTCTTGAGTTGAATCCGCTGGTTGTTGATTCTCCATCTCCTCAGCGTCACTACTACAACGCAGCTACGAACAAGAATTGAAAGTAGATTGTTATCTTGGCTAGATGTTGTTTCTTTTATAAAGAAGGTTTTCATCTTCATTTTGATGGATGTCATTGATGAAAAGCCTCCACCGCCTTTGCTGCATTTGGAAGATTCTTTATTGGCTTCTATGTGCATTCACTAATACCATATCCGTGCCAATGGACAAGATATTCTAATTTATTTTGGCGTCGCCTTGAATCTAAGACTTCTTCTACTTCAAACTCTTCATTATTGTCCACTTCTATAGGAGGAGGTGGAGCTTGTCGTCTTCTTGGTATGTCCACTATCTTATATGGTTCAAGAAGAGACACGTGGAATACTGGATGGATTTTCATTGACTCCGGTAGATGTAAACGATATGCAACTGGATTGATTTGTGCAGAAATAGAAAATGGTCCAAGCCTTCGATAGTCCAACTTGTCACAAGGACGAGTGGTCTTGATATTGCGATGAAGTAGCCATACCTTATCACCCAAGATGAATGATGGTTGTTCCTTTCGATAGACATTCGCATTGGCCTTTTGTTGTTCTTGAGCCTCTTTTAACTGCGCCTTCATCGTTGCATGTAGCTTTGAAAAATGAATTGCCAAATCTTTTGCAGCAAGATTATCAACTTTTGAAAAGTCAAAAGTACCAAGTTGTGGATGATAACCATAATTAGCAAAGAAAGGTGTTTATTTTGTAGAAGAGTGTACCGTGTTATTGTAAGCAAACTCTGCCAATGGCAAAAGAGTTGTCCAATCATCTTGTTAGTAATTAATGGTACATCTTAAATATTACTCCAAAACTTGATTAACACACTCCGTTTGTCCATCAGTTTGAGGATGGAATGCCGAAGATAGTTTTATATCCACTTTAAGAATCTTGAAAAGACTCTGCCAAAATCTTGATACAAATTGAGTTCCCCTATCTGATATAATATCCTTGGGTAATCCATGTTAGCGATAGATATTGTCAAGAAAGAGCTTGGCTGTTTCTTTACGTATGATAGATTTTGTACATGGTACAAAATGTGCCATCTTGGTAAAACGATCTACTATCACGAATATAGAGTCATAAGAACCAAAGATTGGAAGATCCGTGATGAAGTCCATAGAAACAGAAGACCATGGTTGTTTTGGAATGGGTAATGGCTGAAGAAGTCCAAAAGATCGATGACGAGGAGTTTTTGATCTTGAGCAAATATCACATGATTGTACAAAATCTTTAACTGCTTTCCACATTTGAGGCCACCAAAAATCCCTAGATATCAGCTCCAAAGTCTTATTATATCTAAAATGTCCTTCTGTTGGGAAGTCGTGACGAGCTTGAAGAACACGTAAACGTGCTTCTCCTTCTGGAACATATAGGTGTCCTTCGAAATACAGTAGGTTGTTCTTGAATTAAAATTTAGATGGATCATGAGATTTAGAAGAATTGTTCTTGATATCACGAACAAGAGGGTCTGAAGATATACTTAACTGGACTTGCTTAAGAAAATTTAAATCAATAGTCAATGTTGATTTTATTGCTCGAAGATGAAATTACTCCAGCTTCAAGAGAACCGTTCTTTGTTGCTCAAAAGTTACATCTCCTTCTTTTAGTGCAAGATAAGAACGTCTAGACAAGGCATCGGATAAACCTTGTTATTTTTCTGGCCGATAAGTGATGATGAACTCGAATCTTGATAAAGACATGCTCCAACAAGCTTGGCGATGATTTAATACGCGTGCTGACATAAAATATTCGAGGTTCTTGTGATCCATATACACGGTGACTGAACTAGAAGCGCCTTCTAAATAATGATGCCATTCTTGAAAAGAATCCACAATTGCAAGAAGTTCTTTGTCGTGGATCTCATAATTGATTTTTGCTGCTGAGAATTTTTTTGAATGAAAGGCTACTGGATGAAGTTTGTCATCTGTTCCCATTTTTGATAAAACCGCACCCAGAGCAAAGTCCGATGTATCTATTTCCATAAAGAATGCTTTGGAAAAATCAACACGATACAAGATTGGTGCAGAAACAAACGCTGTCTTCAAAGATTCAAAAGCAACTTCCGTTTCTTGATTCCATTGGATTTTGTCTTTACAAGTCAAATGTGTAAGTGGAGCTACAACTCAAGAGAAGTCCTTGATTAAGATCTGATAGTAGTAGGCAAATTCCAAAAAATATTGGACATCTCTTACCGTTTGGGGATCTTTCAATCTATAATAGTTTGAACTTTTTTAGGATCCATCATAAGTCCATCATTTGAAATGATGTAACCTAAGAAATCGACTTGAGTAGCGTGGAATACACAATTTTCTATCTTAGCATAGAGTCTTGCATCTCTTAATTTTTGTAACACATGACAAACATGAAGTTCATGTTCTTCTGGATTCTTAGAATAGATCAACATGTCATCTAGATAACAGACCATAAAATCGTCCAAAAACTCTTGAAAAATATCATTCATTAGATGTTGAAAAGCTGCTGGTGCATTTGTAAGTCCAAAAGGCATGACGTTGTATTCAAAATATCCATACCTAGTTCGAAACACAGTCTTCCATTCATCTCTTTCTTTGATGTGTACTAGATTGTATGCTCCTCGAAGATCTATTTTTGTATAGATCTTAGCTTGATTCAGCTGATCAAGAAGTCCAGATATTAAAAGTAGTGGATACTTATTCTTGATGGTAATCTTGTTGAATCCTCGATAATCAACATACATCCACAATGATCCATCTTTTTTCTTCACAAATAGAATTAGAGCTCCTACCGGAGATTTAGAATGGCGTATGAAATTCTTGGCTAGATTTTCTTCAATATACTCCTTGAGTTCAGCCAACTCAT